AGAAATTAGAGATGGGTGACGGAAAGAGAATTGCTCATGTGATGTGTTTGTTTTCTGGTCTATGGGTTGTACTCACTGTGTAAATGCAGGTCTTGCTCTGTATTCCATGCATGGTGATGTAGAGTGCTCTACATTTTCACTGCAGTCAGCCAGCTCAGCTTTAACTATGATGACATCATTGTTTATATTAACAGCACCCACTCTTTCCTCTCTTCCTCTCCCTCATCCCTCTCTCTTTTGTTCCCTTTTACCCCCTCATGCCATTTTTGTCCCTCTTGTACTTATTTATTTATTGACCATCGCTGCTGCTGTGGATATTACAACAGTCCATTACAGCCTGTGGCCTGGCGCTGAACGGCCTATCATCTTACCGTTATCTTTGCTGGTGATATTAATAGTACAGATAACAGCAAAGGATTTCCTGTAGCATCCATGCTAATCCTGTCACTTCCTCATAACTTTGTCTATAACATTTGATATCAAATCTATGCCAAGATTTCCTACTCGCTAAACATTTGCTGGTGTCATTCAATGATTAGTGTATTAGTCAGCTTGGTCAGTGTAGTGTTTATATTTATTGTGAATCGAGTGTTTTTCTTAAACAAATCTGGAGTTTTTTTATGACTTGGTGTATTGTAGTGCATCGATGCTATGATTGTAAATAGATACACAGATGGTCTGCTAAACAAGGATGGGTATTAATCACAGCCCTGCCCTCCAATCCACCAAAGGTTCAAAGATCAACACATGTTACCTCTAGGCTCAGGCCGTATCAATGTGCTTGGAATACGAGCGTATTTAGAAATACCGAATGTATGGTTTTCAATATTGTCAAAAATGCAGACGCTTTCTTCCTAATAAACTAACACCAAGATGCTGGATTAAGGTGATGCATTGTAGTGTACAGAATGAGCTACCAGAAATCAGTTTCTACTGGTCAAAAGGGCACCTCAGCTGAGATAGATGGTGACTGTGAGTGGTAGGAATGACAATATTTTCGGTTTAGTCCCTATGAAATTGGCGAGCAGAATTCTTCCAACTACAAAAGCAGTTTATTATCCACATGATTTAATGTAACTGCATGTCTACCACCACCACATCAACTCCACTTCATCCCACTGATGTGTAATTAAAAAAACCTTTGACTTAAACCATTTACCAAACTATATACTCTTTAAAAAAGATTATTCTGTTGTTGTGATGTAATGTACTAAAAGGAGAACTGATTGCTCATTGTCTAAGTGTCTCTCATACTCAAGTCACACGTGTCATTTTAATACAATGTAATATACATTTAGTTGAAGCTTCTCTCATCTCATCTGAGGCTAATACACAGATAACCATCTTGAGTAGTGAGGGGTGATTACTACAGGTCTTAGCCAGCCTGAATCTTGACCTGAACTTTCTTTGTTCTCCATTGGTCTCATCTTTTATGATGGCCTATTAAATCAGTTCTCATTCTTTCTGCCCCACACTAAGCTACTATTAAGGCACCATGATGTCTTAGGATTGCTCTGGGAATGGTTAAATGTCCATCTGCAGCACTGCTTCTACCCACTCCTTCCTTCTCTCCCTCCATCTCTTCCTTTAGGAACTTGTCATCTGTGGCTGACAGGAAATAAACTGTCCGAAGGAGTTAGCTCTGCCCTCTGAAATGTGGCCAGTTTCTTTGGTACCTGCCTTCAGAGTTAATAAAGGGGTAGAGAGGACAGAGTTCCAGACAAAAACAAAGAGACATTCCTGCCTCGCCCTGACAGATTTCCGTACAAAGACGCATTTGTATGGACAATCACATACACACACCCTTTTTTAATCAGCTCAACATTCTTACATCTCTGCATACAGAGCTGTAGACACTCATTTCTCTGTTCAAGCTACCTGTTTCTAACATTATCATCTCTCACAACCTAAAAAATCTCAAACGATTCTGTTATTTTCTCTTATACATTACTCTCTATAGGGTGTTTAGTGTAAAAGGGATAGTAAAACGGTTATAAATGATTGTTAGTGTATCCAAGGGTTAAAAAAAAACACAACCTAGACCACATTTACTTGGGGCAACCAGGCCATCCCCTCGAAAAAAGGTGCTTTAATCTGCATTTGTTTTTTAAGCAGTCAGCGGTTCTAAATGTTAATAAGCATGAGTCCATTAGTGAGGTCTGGTGAGAGCTAAAAAGACAAAGTAAGTGTCATTCTGGAGGAGGTAGAACTTCAGAGTACCTTTTGTACTGTATTTTTCCTGTGTGTGCACTCGGACGGACAAAGTCTAGTGTAGGATATTTGTTTTCATAGTAATGAGACTGAGACACGGTTGGTTGGATGGATTGTTTAGACTACTGTCTCCTCCATGTTCACTAGTCATTTTTGCTGTCTCCACTCTGGACTTTCTCACTTTTCCTCCACCTCTGAGCTGTCATGCTCTTGAAAACGTCCAGGTGCTCCTCCGGTCTCATTTTCCAGGAAAAAGGAGAGGCTACAGTGAGACACGCACTGTAATTGTCTTATATATCCTTTATTTAACCAGGTAAAAGACTCATTGAGATTAAAATCTCTTTTCCAAGAGTGACCTGGCCAAGCAGGGCAGCATGAACGAAGTTACAACAGATAAAACACAGACAAGACAGGCAGACAAATACAGCTGTAAAACACAAATAAAATGGCACATTAGCCAGTCAAAATGCGAAATAAAACAAACTATTAAAAATCATTAAAAACTGGCAAAATGTAAAACGATTTTTGGATATACGAGCACTCACATCTACCAATGGTGTCGTGTTCTCTGTCCTTTAAGATGGACCTGAATTCTCCCATAGTGATTAAATCTGAGAGTTTCAGCATCTTGTCTTTTTCAGCTGGCTCGCAGCCTGAATGAGATTTTTTTCTTTCTACTCTTCATGCCAATATACAGCGCTTCCTCCCTCCCTCTTTATGTATGTATTTCACTTTTTTCACATCTAGTCTTCTAAACCTTAGGGTCATAGAAAGCTGGTGTACTGCTTTATTTGACAAAGAATGTTAGTTAAATGTCTAAACCTGTGCAGCCTTTGTTGTGTTTGGACAGGTTTCAAACAGCAGGATAGCCTCTATCACCCCTGCATGCTCCCCCTCTGTCCCTCTTTGTGTCCATCATGCTGTAATTAATGTCAAACCCAACAGTGTGTTCTGGAGGAGGCGTGGGCTAACATGGTTAACATGCCCTTACTTGGCTATAGCTCCTATCTCAGGGCCCCTTTTTTGGAGCACTGGCCTGGCTGTAGACCTGTACTGGCCCCTTGTGTTTATCAAAGACCATTACACCACATCTGTCTGTCACAAGGCAGCTACATCTTCTTTGGAGCTGTCAAAAATACCCAAGTTATTGGAGTTGCAACGCAAGCTCTTACTTTAATGACAACCAATGCTTTTATTTAGCCAGAACCGAGTCCCAAGTCATTTTCAATCTTCAAACTTGATTTTCATTCTCTCTGAAGTCTCTGATTCTTGACGAGCATTATTTTAGCATGCAATCAATTTCCTCCCGTTCTCTGGGAACTCGGATTGTGTAATCAGAAAGAGTGCCTAATTATACAAAGTGAAGCTCTCTTTTATTTAACATCACATAAACATGCCTAAAGTAGTTGAGTAGACTTGTCTGGAACTGTTACTGCCACAGAGTCTTTACCAACCCCCCCCCCCCAGCCAAAGCTGCGTTTGATTCCCAATGAGAATATGCTTTCCAAGAGCCTGCAGCTCTAAGATCATATCATCCCATCTCTATCCAAACCCACTCTGTCTGCTGCTCATATCCATTTTCATAGCTTTACTTAACTTCCTATTTCTGTGTGTGCAAATTGTATCAGTCATTGTGGTATTGCATACAGAAGGTGTTGGCTAACTGAGACACAGAGGCTGTTAATTTGTTAAAACCGTGAGTGTCACACATCTACTGACACTAGTGACATGGAAATATCTGGACATGTGGAGGCTCATATTTCGCACCAAAACCCGCACAAGAGAGGCAAGTGGCAGCTTGAGTTCGTGTTTGTTTGTCATTAACCTCTAGTCGATGTGAAGTGAGTGTCTTTGTGAGTGTGGGTGGTGCCGGGGGGGTTGCATGTGTTGAGGATTGGAGACTTGACCGAGGCTTCATGCAGCTGTGTGTGTGTGTGTGTGTGTGTGTGTGTGTGTGTGGTGGGGTATTTTAGGAGCAGAGGAAGGGGTTTTGTTTGTGAGGGTGGATGTGAAGCTGAGCTGCCATCTTATCAGCTGTGAAGTGCAAGGAAATGCAGGAGGATGTATTTATCCTTCACCTCCTCTAACCCTAAAACACCTTGTAAATAATTACGTTTGACGGCACATTGTAACCTAAACTTCTTTCCTTGTATTCTACATGTGCTATCAATTAGCAAAGCAGTGCTAATCCATAAAAACACTTTCTGTTTCAGACAGTTAGTGTTTATCCTGTGCGTTGTTGCACTAAATAATCATATAGACAAAATGAAATGCAAACGTCCAAATACAAATCTGTTTAAAGCAGAAAAAGACCTTTTGCACTATGTTCAATTACTTTTTAAACTGTAAAATAAGCCCAGAGGGTCTTCACTAGCTCATTTAATCACTTCTACATTTGAGATATTGCCAGTACCTTTTCAATCGTGATCAGTCGGATAACATTGGGGATATTTAAAGCGTATCTGAGCAGCAGTTACTGCTAGCAGATACATGTTTAAATGATCGAGAAGGAAGGAAGCGAGATTCAGTTCAAGAAATGAGGAAGTGAGAACTAGGAGTGGAGAGAAGCTTCCTGTCACTTGTGTGGCTACCATCACCATCCGACCCGTTGCTAACCTCTTGTGTGAATGTTTGTTTTGAATGTGATGCCTGCAAGAATACTTGTGCATTCATGTCAAGTAAATCTGTATTATCTATAGTTTATTTTTATATTTAAATGTACTTAAAGCACTTATTATTTTTGTAACCTACGTTTGTTAACCTCCAACACAACAATCCTCCCCTCCCAGAAAGATTCTCATATCACCTGGAAAGAGAGGGACTTTGCCAATATTAGAAATCAGGTAAGTTCTGGTCATATCTCCTGTACAGCTGCATTATATTCAATCTGCAGCTCCTCTTCTGCTAAGCAAGCACACTCAGGCTTAATGTTGCTCACATCTAGTAACATGTTATCCACTTCAGGCTTAAACACTTTTGCCTTTTTTGTCTCCGCCCTCTGAAACTTCAATTCCAAAATGTTCAAGCCACCCTCTTCTTAGTTTGCAATGACGTGACGTAGCTCTGCTAACAGCTCGATTATGATACTGTTTGGTTAAGAGAGAGGTTGACTCATGCACTGTCCAGCAGCTTATTCTCTGTTGTTCGAGTGGTATTGCTGCACAAAGAGCAATAAAGTGAAATATTTGGGGGGGGAAAGTAAATGAGAGGGCACTTAAGGACTAGTGCAAGCTTTTTTTAAGGGGCAGGATAAGCAGAAAGGGGAAAGAGGGACATGCCTTTCCACAGACCGGAAAATATCTCTCATCCGCAGGCAGTGAGTCGTCTGAATCGTCCTAACACATACAGTAGAGGTGAAAGCTCATAGTCTTTCCTCTAGCTTCTACTCTATTGCATTGTGGGTAAAAGCATGTAGCTTTGAGTAAAAGGTATTCACCACAAAAAAAACAGAGCCAGGTTAAATCAACACAGATTCACAGTTAATGCCACTGTAACATGTGAGTACTTTTTATATGTGCAGCAGAAAGACACAACCATATTTCCATATTCTTTATCTTGTTTCTCTATTGTTTCAATTTTAAATCCACTCTCTTCCTCTCTCTCTTTACCTAAAATGCTATCTCTCTCGCTTACCCGCAGATGTGTGTGTGTGTGTGTGGGAGACTTTTTTTGGGTGCAGGACTGTGAGAATAAGAGCAGGCTCTTCCTTCCTGCCCGCTTTTGGTTCCAGTTCACTTCAGCTGTAGTCAGTCACTGAGGACACACAGGGCTCATCAGACCAGCACAGAGCAATGGAGAGAGGGAGGACAGTAGAGATAATAACAGAGAAGATGAAGAGTTGATTATACTTGAGCAGAAGGCTGCTTCTGAGGAAATAGATAAAGGAAAGAGGCCAAGAGATTTTTTCATGTGCACTTAATGTACACAGAGCTAATCAAATGTGACTAAAGTTAGACAGTTAGTGGAAATGGGTAGGAAGATGATGCGGAGGTTTTGGCAATGCTGAGATGGAAAAGGACAAGAGCAAGTTCGCCTACATGACCCGCTTTCTGACCTTCCACCTTTCCAAAAAGAACAAAGCCTTGGCTGGCAGCCCTCCGAACTGTAACAGATCAACAGCTGCACCAGGCAACAGCCCTGACACTTTACCTGCAGAGAGGAACCACTGGACGGTAAAGTGATACCTACTTGTGTTGGCATCTTGATTAACTCTAAGTACTCTCAAGAGAGTTGTTAATGTCATTTTTAAATAAACGAGGGTGGAAGAGTGATGTGTTAAAGCTGCAAAGTGGAAACGCGGATCAGTGCTTGTTGTTCTATGGTGGTTTAGAAACAAGGTGCAGCTGAGAGCTTGCATGTTCAAAAACCAACTCTGGTTTCCTGTTGTCAAATAAAATCCTATGGTGGCCTGTGGTTTCGGCTGCTTACAGTGAATTGTTAAAACTTTAGAATGTTAGGATTTGTCAGTCCTTTTTTTATTTGTAGGTACTTCAGTGTGGCAACGTATGACTATTTTCTGTGTTATTTGTATTTCTGGGTGAATTGATCACTGTTTTTATCTATAAATGTTCAGAAAACTGTAAATAACGCTTTCCCCAGAACCAGAAATTATGTTTTCACATTGCTCATGGGAAACTGGAGAAGGGGAATCAAGCAAATATGTGCTATTTTAACCTGATAAATTATGTTGTACACAACTACAGACTAAAAGGTGTTTATGGTATTTGACATGCATTTCATATGGTGTGCATTGCATGGATAATAAGTGGTGGAACAGGCAAGATGTCCTACTTGCTTGTTCCAGATTTTGAAATGTTTCTCTGCAAGTAGCTGTGAGGCTTCAGGGTAGAAGGAATAGTTACTCCACGACCACTCAGTTACATTTTAATATTCTCCCTGCAGGTAACTACAGTGTTGCCTTGTTGTAGTCACAGTGTGAGAAACCTTTCAGTTCTCTGCTCTCATAACAACACCCAGTCTTTGTTGTTTTTCTGAAGTGAGTTGAGGGTGAGGTTGACACCAGGTCAGCGTTGTGTGTTGTTGTGTTGGAGTGGCAGCAGTGGCAGTGCTCCACCCTGTAAATACCTGAGAAGTTTCTTGAGGTTATATAACTTGTTTTCAATCCCAGAAACATAAACATGAACCACTGGAGGCATTTTACATTACATTACGTCTGAAATGTGCACTGATAGGTCAGTTGTTTGTGATATGTGAGTCACCATCATTTCCAGAAACTACTTTAAAAAAGCAATACATTGCCCAGAAACACTGGGTGTTATCACTCGTTCGCACACATCTCACTTCTTACCGTGCTTCCTCTTTATGAAGCATTTTATTTTTGATATAGTGTTATTTACAGTAGAAGACAATATCCTATGACATAACTTCTCTTTTGGCACTGCAAACAATCTCTGACATGTTCTTTTCACACAATTACAAACACATTGTTTTAGCCATTGTTTGTGAATACTGACTGGTTTATTAAACGTTTCCCCTCTGCTTTGCACTCTGCAGGAAGATGGAGATATCAAAGAGATCAACATTACCCATGTGGTCAAGGAGGGCTCAGAGAAGGCTGATGCTTCTCAGTTTGAACTGCTCAAAGTGTTGGGACAGGGATCGTTTGGCAAGGTAAATCCTGTCTCTTTCGCTCTCTTAGTCGGACAATTTTAATATGCACTCAACCTCTTATTTAATATAACCGAGTGTTGTTTCGTTGCAGGTGTTCCTGGTGCGAAAGGTGACCGCTCCCGATGCCAACCAGCTCTACGCCATGAAGGTCCTCAAGAAGGCCACGCTGAAAGGTACATTCGCCTTAAAAAGTGTTCAATCACAGAGGGTGGTTTAAAAGGCTGACTTGGTTAGTCAGAAAGTGTACTAATAAACAGAAAAAGCTTGAAATTCCTGACCCCAGCTTTACCTTTGAAAACCTAAGTTTAGGTTTGCAGTAGAGTTGTTCTGCAGCTGATACAGTATGTTCCCCATCATTGCCTGGATTAAAGATGGTGTTATGTTATCATATGGTGCTGAAACAATAAGTTGATTGTCAGAAAATGTATCTACAACTAGTTTGATTATTTGCTAGTTTCAAATTCTTCTCAAACATTTTTTGCAGATTTCAAGACAGTACTTTAAGATTCAGGACATTGTGATGAGCATATTTAACTCTATGCTGATATTGATAATGAAAACAATAATGTGTTGCAGCCCTGTATTTAATACCCCTATATAACATCACCTTGTTTAGTGTATGTATGATTGCTTTCTCTTTAGCTTTTGTGGTAGACTCATTACTTGTTTTGAAGTTGCAGTACCTTCTGTCTGTTTGATATGACTAATGGTTTCACTTTCCTCATCAATCAGAACAGAGTTGACAGCTTTGACAGAGCCTCAAACTAAAACTCTGCATGGTCCGACATCCCCTATGATTTTAAATCAGCAAAGAATTGATCCATTATTGGGCAGCCAACTAGAAACCACCAACATGACAATATAGTACAAATGCTTGAGGGCTTTGTCAGCCAACTTTTTAATAATAAAGTTTATATTCACACTAAACTCTGCACCTCCATTTATCCTTCAGTGAGAGACCGTGTGAGAACTAAGATGGAGAGAGACATCCTAGCTGACGTCAACCACCCATTTGTTGTCAAACTGCACTATGGTGAGTCTGCCTGGAGATTTCATTACCAAAATGTTTTAAGGAATCTGGAAACTGTTTTCTTGCTATCTTATTGTTTAAAATTCCAGAAATGTTCTTGTTAGCTTGCTGATTTCCCAGTAAATGTTTTATCTTTTATTTGTAGCATTCCAGACTGAAGGCAAGTTGTACCTGATCCTGGACTTTCTCAGAGGAGGAGATCTCTTCACCAGACTCTCCAAAGAGGTGAGAGTGATTCATTGGATAGTGGTTGTTTGCTGGCTCTGTCTCTGTCAGTCATTTATCTTATTTGATGACAAATGTTTGTTTTTTTTCCTCCATTATCTTGCTCTTTTAAATCATTGTTTCATTCTCTCTTTTTCTGTGTCTCATGCCTCTCAGGTGATGTTCACAGAGGAGGATGTGAAGTTTTATCTAGCGGAGCTGGCGTTAGGACTGGACCACCTCCATAGCCTGGGCATCATTTACAGGGACCTCAAACCTGAAAAGTAAGAGGAAAAATTGACATACTAGACACACAAAAAGATAGTGTGACAAATGCATGTGTGCAGAGGTGGACAAAGTACTCAGATCATCATTGTTATTAAAAGTTGTTGATGCAGAAATTCTCTGTTAAAAGTCTGAGGTCTTTGAAAATGTTGTTAAGTAAAAGTTATAAAGTATTGGCATCAAAATATATCTCTCTAAATTGCATAGGAGTACAGTATTTCAGTAAATGTACTTACTGTCTACCATTTAAGACTTCAGCTGCAGCGTCATTGAGCCTTCATTTCAATACTACTATTATCTGCCATCAGTAAGAACATTCTTGAAAATTGGAACAGTTTTACATTTTCCAAGCAAAATCTTGTCCTAAAAAAACCCTGACAATTTATGTATACAGAGACGTATGCATATGTTCTTGTAGAAAAAGCTGTCATCACTGCTAGAGTGCTCCCTGAAGATACTTTTATTCTGAGTATTCAAATAAAGAACCTAAGAGTTATTTATTCGGTTCTTGGAAATATATCAGAGCCTTTCTATTGCATGATAAGTTATACATTATTGTTGCATGGCCACTGTTTATGTTTACTGCCATTGGTTGTAGATATGCATTCCTCAACCTCTGCAATTGTCCTCACACTAGTGATCAAAGAGTCAATAAGGTGCCTTTAAGTTGAAAGCTGATTATTGTGTTACATACTCATTACAGCAGAATGTGCAATGTGTTTTTTAAATGAGTAAAATATTTAAATGTTCACACTCTTCCGATATATTCATTATTCTGACAATTGATATTGTTTTTTAGCATTCTCCTGGATGAGGAGGGACATATCAAACTCACAGGTGAGTCTCCTGCTCCTTTCTGCCGATACACTCTCAGACACCAACTCTACCAGACACACCTCTACCTTGTTGACCCTCATTACTCACACTGGGGTGACAGCCTTATCTTACCGACTCCAGATATCTGCATATGGGCGTGTACATGTTCCCTAAGTTAATTATTACACTTTATCTGCTTTATCTATCTCTATAATTGTCCATAATCAACGCCATGTATTGACTTCCGGGTCCTGCCACCACTGAACTGAAGGTTACTGTATCATAGAGAGGCAGTGCAGACCAGATAAAGCGTTGTAAAATAGTTTTTTATTATATTTTAACCAACTAGTTGATAGTGCTGTAAAACAAGTGGCAAAAGATACACTTTGGTCATGTTAGATTATATGGAAATCATTCATGATAACAGAAAGCACTTTACAGTAGGGTGCTACACTGATACAGCGCAGTGACGTGCTGACTGTATCTTGTGGTGTGTTTTCCAGATTTCGGCTTGTGTAAAGAAGCCATTGATCATGAGAAGAAAGCGTATTCCTTCTGTGGTACTGTGGAGTACATGGCACCTGAGGTTGTGAACAGGCAGGGACACGACCAGAGCGCCGACTGGTGGTCATTTGGAGTACTTATGGTAAGCAGGAAACACTAATTCAAATTATAATAATTGTGTTTCTATATCATGCATACTCCTTTAATACATCTTCTACTTCACATATGTATGCATGTACATGATCACAGTTTATTGTTCTCTCTCCCAGTTTGAAATGTTGACTGGATCGCTGCCATTTCAAGGAAAGGACCGCAAAGAAACTATGAGCCTGATTCTGAAGTGAGTATCCTCATGGTGGAGGAGCATTTCAACACAGAAGCCAGTTGTCATATCTTGTTGCGATTTAAGAAAAAAAAAACTACGAGCTACCTGCCATCTTTCTGTCCCTGCAGGGCGCGCCTGGGAATGCCTCAGTTCCTCAGTGCAGAGGCTCAGTCTCTGCTCAGGGCTTTGTTCAAGAGGAACCCTTCCAACAGACTGGGTTAGTACCAACTACTGAACAGTTATTTCACAAATGGCTAAATAAGCACTCCAGCTCTGTTTCCTCATATATGTGTCATTGGTGTTTCTTGACAGGATCTTGTGCTGATGGTGCAGAGGAGATCAAACGGCATGGTTTCTTCTCCACCATCGACTGGAACGTAAGTGAGAGAAGGTCAACAATATCATTTATTGTGCAGAGTAAAAAGTGCGGTACTTGTGGGTTATCTGTCGCCACTTTTTAATCGAATTTCCAACTTTTGCACAAATACAGATGTGTGTTATCATGTCGCTATTTTCACAAAAATATACTATCTCTAACCCTCTCTAAAAAATTGCGTATTTAGAGAGTCTGAAAAAAACAGTGGCGACAGATAATCCACAAGTACCAAAAGTATAATTTGATGGTTTTCATTTAGGAAAAACAACTTTTGTGGGCGGAATTCCCCTAAGTATATTGTGTGATTGAAAGTATTTTATTCCTTTTAGAAACTCTTCAGGCGAGAATTAAAACCCCCGTTCAGACCAGCAGTGGCGCGTCCCGACGACACCTTCTACTTTGACTCTGAGTTCACCTCCCGTACCCCTAAAGGTCAGAAATCCAAGCTGCATATGTTAACCTGTTTTTTTTTCACCCTGAAAGAAGTTAATTGAAAATGTAATATTTTTCCTGTCAATGCAAGATTCTTATTGTGGTTACAGCTCCATTAAGATGCGATCACACTTTATTATAGGAGTGTTTGTAAAGAAATGCGCAAGCTAGGAAGTATGCTCTTCTTGAAATAACATATTAAAACATGGCATCTCTTAAAAAGGCACATATTTCTCTTTTCCATCCTTGACATTCCTTATAATCTTCCAGACTCCCCCGGTGTGCCCCCCAGTGCCGGAGCTCACCAGCTTTTCAGAGGCTTTAGCTTCATTGCGTCGCCTTTGTTGGACGAGGAAGGGTCTGCGGAGCCAGTCAAGCCTCACCCAGTTGTCCAGGTCAGAATAAATAGTTTCCTTTTTACATTCTACGTTCTGAACTACGAGATCCAGTTTAAACGAGGTGTCCTTTCTTTTACTGTGTTGGATTTATCACTGAATACACAAACTACAGCTATCTAAAGAAAGAGGGGAAACAGACAAAAGTACAAGGTCTATGTAAGGCAGACAGGGGAAGGAAATGTCTGATACCTAAAAGCAGGTACAGATCCTGTTTCATGCGTGAAAGGAACAGCAGTTAACTCTGTGTGCTAGAACATTTTGTAAAGATGTACGACTTCTGCCTCATGAACTCTCTCAGCACAACACGCTTTTTTTAACATCGCTCTTCTTCCTCTGCAGCAATTACACGGAAAGAACCTGCTGTTCAGCGACGGCTACGTGTTGAAGGAAGACATCGGCATGGGGTCCTTCTCTGTCTGTAAACGCTGTATCCACAAAGCCACCAACACAGAATACGCTGTTAAGGTAGGGTGGTGTATATTTAGAAAAAGAGTCCTGTGACATACAACCAAGATGACGGTTACAATTACACGCATAACCATCATGGCTGTATTTTATATTATACTGTATAAAACTGTAATATTAAGAATATATTGTGATTGACAGATGATTGAAAAGACCAGCACAGACCCCTCTGAGGAGATTGAGATTCTGCTTCGATATGGGCAGCACCCTAACATCATAACACTGAAGGATGTAAGTATAAAGAAATGCACTTATATTAAACATTTTGGTGTCAAATCTAATATGACCTGTGATTCAGTGTCAGGCTTGATTTTCTAAAGCCTAAAAACAGAGCCAAAGGAAGGTTCAGATGATTAGTTTCCTGAATGGTTATTATGGACATTTTTATCAATGAAAGCCAAAAGACTATGCCCAATGTCACAGATGGTGATATGATAATGTGTGTGTCTCTGTCTCAGGTGTACGACAACGGTAAGCAGGTGTTCATGGTAACAGAGCTGATGCGTGGAGGAGAGCTGCTGGATCGCATCCTCAAACAGAAGTTCTTCTCGGAGAGAGAGGCCAGCTCTGTGCTTCACACCATCACCAAGACGGTGGAGTACCTACACTCACAGGGGGTAAGGAGGACAACCAGAAAATACTCATAATATAAATAATTTCACTCTTAAATCAGTAAAAACCCAACCGGAGGAGGCTTGTTAAGATCTCCATACTGTATTCAGTTTTGTCTATACTTGGATTGCTCTGGTTATCTGTTTTACTACTGAACTATTCACTTAATGTACTCTTATTTTGTTCCTCCAGGTGGTGCACAGAGACCTGAAGCCTAGCAACATCCTCTATGTTGATGAGTCGGGGAATCCAGATTCTATCAGGATCTGTGACTTTGGCTTCGCTAAGCAACTGCGTGCCAACAACGGCCTGCTGATGACCCCGTGCTACACTGCTAACTTTGTAGCTCCTGAGGTAAGTCGAGTCCTCCTTTTGTCTCTGGGTCAGAATAGGCAAAAGCTGTGCGGCATTTGCTTACATTTACTCACATTTGCTCAGACCTGGATAAAACTAAAGTCCTTGAACTGTGTTGAATTGAAAGTGTTAGACCCTGAAAGGCAATGTGTGTCATTCCAGGTGTTGAAACGTCAGGGCTATGATGAAGGGTGTGACATCTGGAGTCTAGGAGTCTTACTGTACACCATGCTGGCCGGGTGAATACCAACACTTAAAGCTCTTTTATTTGAACTCATTTTTCTATATCACTACCCTTAATACTCACTTTGTCATTTTTATCCTTGTCTTGTGACAGCTTTACTCCATTTGCCAACGGACCTGAGGACACCCCAAATGAGATCCTGAACAGAATAGGAAACGGTCACTTCAGTCTAGTTGGAGGCAACTGGGACACAGTGTCTGAAGCTGCCAAGGTGAAACTCCAAACCTGGCAGATGGCTGCTTTGCTCAAGTTCCTCAGAGGAATCCAGTCTCCTTCTGTCAACATTTTTTAAATGTATTCTGTGCTGCTTTTAGGATCTTGTGTCGAAGATGCTTCATGTGGACCCGCATCAGAGACTGACTGCTCAGCAGGTCCTCAAACATCCCTGGATTATCCAGAGAGACAAACTGCCCAACAGCCAGCTCCCTCATCACGACCCCAAACTGGTCAAGGTAACAAGACGTTTTCTATCAAAAACATATCAGTTACAGAGAACTGATTGGATATTTTATTTTCCTACATGATACAGTATAACAATGTTTCACGGTTAAATATTTCAGAATTAAAGATACCCCATAGAGTTTTGTTTTTACCACTAAGAGCCCAATGCAGAATTTTCTTAAAATAGATCCCCATCAGGTTAGTATTGTGAACGTGCAAAAATGGCACAAAAAGAAAACATCACTCTCAAATTCATGTTTTTTTTTAATTCACGTTTATTCAACTGATCGACAATGTGTGGCAGTAACTATGAAGTAATATAGATATGCTTTTTGCTGAGGAATATTTTAATTAATCTTGACTTTTAGTTTAGAGTTAGGTTCACAGGTTTACATTGAATATTGGTAGATAATAAATAATGTAAAAAATGTATTGTTTCCTAAAAATGCTGTACAAAATACAAAGTGATCTAAATATTGTATAACAATGGACACAGATTTTGAGCTACTAGTGCTATTTTGCAATATCACTGTCATTTCTGTTTGAATGACAGTGATATCACAAAAAATGTAAATCCATCATAGAAATTATATTGTGGTTTTTCCCTTTGAAATGTTTTCATAAAATGACTGTAATTGTCGCCAAACAGCTTTCTTTTTCATGCACACATTTTGGTTTGTTGCCTGTTTAAACTTTAATTACCATGCTGCTGTTATTCTACAGGGTGCGATGGCGGCCACCTACTCTGCCCTGAAGAAGTCTCAACCAACTCCAGAGCTGAAGCCCATCGAGAGCTCCTTCCTAGCTCAGAGGCGCGTCAAGAAGCTTCCCTCCACCTCCCTGTAGAGACTCTAAACATCCAATCGGCTCAGTGGAGACTGACCAAACTGCACCTCCTGGCTACAACCACCCAGTCAATTTGCACGGGGACTCAAGTGTCCACCCGCCTCTACCAGCCAAGGAACACGGACTGTGGTCCTGCCCCCATCTTGTAACATCAGTACTGCTCTTGCTATCATCCTCCTTGTTCTGGCTTGTCAAGTGCTGTTAGCCAGTCTCATTGGACTAGCAAAATATCATGACGAAAGATGGGGGCGATGAGGGTTAAAAAAAAAAAGCCTGGCTGCAGGTTTTTGGCAGATGTATAAGTGATGAGTGTGTGTATGTGTGAGTGAGTGTGTTTGTGCATGACTAGAGAATGTGACAATGAAAGTTTTCTCTCCTCATCATTGCTGTGATTGGTTGTCATCCAGCTTGCTGCACGCCTGTCTGCCTGTTTTGTTGTCTGTCTTCCTGTTCTTTTTGTAAAGTTAATGAGCTTTATATTACCGGGTGTGCTGCCAAATCAACCCGTGCCGACAGCACAAAACCACAGTACTGTCCAACTGCTGTTAAATGTTTTCGAAAGAGCATTATTATCATGAATATTAAACATTTCCGCCATAAATGCCTCTTTGGCTTTGGTACAGCCAGAATATGTGGATTCTGAGAAATGTCAAATGCTGATGTTTTGGTTAGTGTCAATGTATGCTTGTACTTTGTTTTACAGAGAGCGTGCGTGTGTGTCAGTTGCATGACTTGCAGTGTGTCTGTGTGTGGGAGCGTGTGTGTGTGTGTGTGTATTCTGTGAGATGCTGCAGGGTCATGTGCATGGTCCGGTGACGTGATGATGTCATGTGGCTTTCTTGTTTTCTCTGCTCTTTTCTCTGCTCGGTCAACCCGCTGGCAACCATTTGAGATGTCTATTCATTTTATTACTACAAAAACTAGTAAAATTGGTGGCTTTCTGTGAAAGAAAACTTGCCCAAGGAACAATGTGGCATGTTCAAATTCTATATTTGCTTTTTTTCCCTGTCTTTTGTTTTCACTGTGTTTCTTGGATAATGCATATTGAATGCTGTTTCCTATATTGGCTGCTTTTGTTGTTGATTGTTTTTTTTTGTTTTTTGTCCATAGAAAGAGGTGATTAAAAATAGTGATAGACATGCTGAGCACATCAGTCTGTGCTCTTAATGCCATACAGGTCTTTCCTTCTGTTTTGGGATGTGAAAGGGTAGAAAGGCTGACTTTTTCTTTATTTGAGCACTCAACACAGCCGCCCTCTTATAAAAAGTCAAATCACTGGTTGCTCATACCACACAGACCTTCAGCAGTCGTGTGTCTTTCGTGCACGTTTCTGTACATTATATAACTTGTTTTCATTTTATTGATGCTCATTTTGAGACATCCTAAAGAAGGGTTAATGTGTCTCATTGTAAGTGGCTTCACAGGACAGGTACCGCTTTCAGCTCTGTGCCTGGACCTATAGGTGAGGCAGAATGTCTTACATGATAAACACATGAAGAACGAACCAAACAGCCTGTGGGCTACATGTGTAGAAGGGAAGACGTGTGTGGCTTAATCTACGAACCAGCTGTCTTACCTCAAAAGGGATCAAAGTTATATTATAATTCTTGTTTGGTGGCAAATTTATCCCATCTTTGATTACATTTATGGTAAGATGTTATTGTATGATAAAGATGAAGATTTTTATATCTTACAAATATTAAAAATTCAGTTGCTACAACAAACTGTCTCTATTCTGTTTTAGTAGTGCCTTGGGGATTTTGTATTGCATTTCCATATAGTTAGGAGCATCACAATTCACCGCTGCATCAGACAAATATCCTAACTGTTAGCCATGTAGAAATGAATATAATTCGGCATTATTCTCTTAAAAATCGTTGTTGCTTCCCTAATTTGTCATTATTAGACTTAGTTATCAGTGCTTTCATTCTAAATGGCACACATGTGATGCCACGGGCGGCTGGTTACAGGTGGCCAAGCTGTAATTTGATTGGCTATTTTGTCCTCTGCTATTTGGATACACTTAGTCCACGTGCTCAATGGTGGACAGCAGCCGCGGAGTATCGTTTAAATCACCAGTTAAAAAAAAGTTCTCCACAGGAATAAATATCTCAAACATAATTACCCAGAGGATTACCGGACAAAAAAGCATCAAGAAAACACCGTAACATCGGGATTGCATGCCTCGCTGACGGCACAGAAAGGGGGAATTGAGCATTATAACAATAAGCCGGTATGGGCGCAGTTTCATATCACCTGTGTTTAAATGTCCGGGAAATATTAAGCATGCACACAGTTTCAAATTGTGTAGTGTGAAGCGTATTTATTTCCCCACCATTTCCACACCATTACATATCATATTGTATTATACAGGTGGATATAACGGCATAAACTGTATATAGAGCATGCTTGGTGTTTAAACTGTTTTGGAAATAGGCCTATATCATTTACAGATAGTCTTTTGCACGGGTATTGGGCATAAACTGACACAATGTGTCAGACAGAGAGGGATGGCTTGTGGAAAGAAACTGCTTTTAGTTTCTGCTTTTTGTTGTTGTCGTGCAGTTCTCCAGGCCTACAGAGGGGAATAGTGGGATCAGGTTGTGTTCAGGGTCTGCAGAACCAACATATTTTAAGTGTACAATTTTTAAATTAAGAGCCTGTTGTCACCATTTCTCTTGATTACTTTGTTTTATTTTGACAAGATGAAAAAAAAAGATTGTTAACCTGCAATACACTGGGTCTGTATCTGCACTGATACTCAATTTATCAAGATAATCGGGTATCGGCCATGACTGATCTATATCAAGTATCGGGTATCGGCCATGACTGATCTATATCAAGTATAAACGTAAACTATGTTAAATGTGATTGCGGGCCACAGATTAAGTGTTTAGTGTCACAGCTATCACTGTCTTTATTTTAACTATGAAACATTCCAGGTAGTTCTAGACAGAGGGGTATACATATTTTTTAATTATGGAAAGATAAACGGCTGGCATCAGACTGCCTGGTCCTTGGTATTTGCAGATATGTTGTGGCAGCACAATTGTTATCAGGAGAGAAACAGTTTGATCAGTGTGACGTCACGGACACTACGTCCATTTATATATACAGTCTATGGTGCAAACCAGTTTTGTGCCTGTTTATCACATGTGGGCTGCCGGCTTGGTGTGTTTCCACATCTGGACACTGGAGGGAGATACAGTGCAAGCTTGTTTTTATGTAAAAGTGAAGTGAATCCTGGCTGGTTTTGCAAAATGCTTTTTTGTCCAAGCACTCAGTACTGACAATGACTTCTACCACTGACCTTTCTTTACTCTTTATTTTACTATTGTGTTGACAGTGTGGTAACGTTCTGATTGAAAATGAACATGCCCTATTCAAAATGACAGCTTCACTTAGCTATTGCACATTGTATCATGTTAAATGTATTGATTTATGTTTATACATGCACAATAGAGACAGGATACAACATCTGTATTTAAATGAGTCCCTGCCTCAGTACCACCATCTGTCTCTTCTTGCCTGCAGCATCTTAACTGTCATTTTATTCCATGTCCTCCTCCTCCTCCTTGTGCTCTCTTATTCCACCACCATGCAAACATCGTAACACCATAACCATTGCAGCAAATTCTGTCTCACAATATCATCTTGTAGTATCGACACATGCAGTTCTTCTTCCTCTGTATGCACCGCAGCACACACTTGCATAACCGTCACACAGTAACTGCAGGTCCTGCTTTTCGGTGGCTAGTTTTCTCACTCCCCTGAATTCTACCGACAAGATTTATGCTGAACAATGCCAGTATAAACTCATGTTCAAGAGAAATGCATTCTTAAATTATCTATATGCTGACGCACATTCCCAGTCCCATTGGGCTCTGCTCTCTTTACTTTGACGTCACCGTGAAAGTCATTCACACTACAATGAATGACATCCTGCTCCTTTACACAATGGACTGTTTAGCTTTATACACACACACACACACACACACACCTACTGACTCAGCTTGCAGAGCACTGCTCCTGATATTGATTACAGAACGGTGGAAAACTAGCATCATCCCAATCCTCTGCATCCTGTCTCTGAAGAGAGTAATGCAGCTTTTTATCTCCGGTCGGCCTCCTCAGTTTACTGCAGTTGTCAGCCAAAGCTGCTCTGCCCTAATGAAGGCTGATTTTTGCGTGTGTGTGAAAGTGAATACAGTCTTTTTCTGAACTGAGCTGGAACAGGATACTTTCCATGGCAAAATGTTTTAATGGAAGGTCTTTGTGTTTTTGTTTTTCTTTGGCTGATGTGAGTTATAGTTGTGATTTACTACTCATAGCATCCCCTATCGTCCTGTTGAATTGCAAATACAAGCACAAAAACTAAGACTGACACTTAATCTCCCTCGTGCTCTCTCTACATCACGTCTCCAACTGCAATGTATCATTTTTATGGTTCCACCATGGTCACCCATGATTCATTCTATCCCTGCTCACAAACACAATTCTAGCTTTTCTACATGCGTACACACTGAACAATCCATAGTGGAAGGAAATAATGCAGGTGTACCTGTCATCCAGTTACTAGATCCATGTAATATATTACCTTACATGCAATGTATATGATACTAGCTGCACCAGCGATGAAGGTTACCAAACATTAATTCATTGTCACAAGAAAAAATGGATATAGTTTTACAATCATAATGTAATAGTCATTGTGTTATGGTACTTTTGATTATTATGAATTTGACATGACGACATGTGAAATTTGATTACATTAGTCTGTTGATGACATTTTTTACTTCGGTCACTCAGTAAAATCACTTGAATCCTGACCCTTAGTAAAATCCTAGTCATTATAGTATTTTCATTTTATTGTATATTAGGTAAGGAATTGATTGCTTGTATTTGTGAGCACAGAACAGCTGCAATTGTTTTCCATTCCTCACTTTTGCAGTGTTACATCATTAAACCTGATGATGTAATCTTTTTTTTTTGTTAAACCACTGACACGTTGCAACCCTGCTATGCAGTTCAACAGATAAATACTGTACACATAAAAACACACACAAAAGAAGCTGATTAAGACAAATAGCTGAGTGAAACTCAAAATCTGAACCACAGTTCTTTTAACCAAACTGGACAATGGAAAACAAAGACAGATGTTCGCAGTCCTCCACGTGCGCACACACCAAATTCACACACAGATTAAATTAATCTGGAACAGAGTGCAAGGTTTTGGAGATTGAGAGCAGGCTTTCATCACAATTTCAGCTAAAGCAGGAAGAGAGAGGAATAGATTGAAGGGGAGATAATTGTATTTTGGAAGGATTAGGCATCGAAACTCTCAAATTAATTATGCAATCTAAAAAAACAGACTAAACAACTTGTTTTGTATGTGCTTGTCGGTTTGAGTGCTTGTAAATGTAGACGATTGTATCAAAGTAAATGTGTTTGATTTTGTCATAGCAAAACACTTTTTTGTGTATTTGCAGGCAGACTAAGCCCTGCTGCTCAAGATGTCTGCCAATGATCATGGCAATCTGTGTGTGGAGCTCAGGGGGCACCATGTGGGGATCAGTATAGAGTGAGTGGCTTTTAACCGCGGGATGCTGCGCACTCACTAGAATCTTCAAAATATGTGCATCATGTTTACTCCACTGAAGCATCTTGCCTGTATCCCTAAAATCTTTACTTACTCAAGCAGGTGCACTGTATATAAGAGAAAATGTGCAACACTTGCATGTCAATGTGTTTTCTGGGTCGTTTTAACTCAATCAAAATACTGTATTATTTAACTTTATAGCTTTGTCTCATGCTCCTCCACAGCAGCACAGCTGTCTTCATCATTTTGCAAGGGTCTTATTTTCTGCCTTTCTGAACAGTACATAATGATGAAGACCTAAAGAACGTCTTTAGGGTTTCCCCATCATTTATTCCTTCTTAACCATAAAGTACAACGTTCCCTTTCTTGCTTTTGCTTCTCTGTCTTTGTATTTCTTGCCTTTTTCTCTAGAGATCAGTGGATCAGTACAGATACGAGCAGGGGGAGAGCTGTCATTGCTACTGCTAATGCAATGCCAAGCCTGAGATAAAAGCGGAGCGCTAAGTGCTTAAATATGTATGTGTCTAAGTGCAGAGCACAAGCTCTGACCCGCTAAAAGCTTCATTGTTTTTGATTCACTCTTGCTGAAAGCAGTTATTTAAAATATCACTCCTTATCACCCCACTGCTACCCTTTTTATGTGTGCCTGTGTGTGCAGTATCGGAGTAAACTTATCCTGTGTCTTAAATCATCCGTCTATCATATCCCTTCTGCAAAGCAACCGCAGAACCAGTCAATATTTGTCTAGACAGAGGGGGTAAGCTTAGCTGCTAATGGACTGGATATTATAGCATGAAGAGGAAAATAAAGGTATTATTTCATGATGATATTTCAGAACTACTAATTTATGAGATCATTTATTCCAGGGTTAGTAGAAACTGCCCATTATTGCATCAACAATTCAGATGTTAAACACGAGATCAGGATTTCTGTTTAACATTTTACAGCACTTCTGCAAAATGTGAAAGAACAATTGAAGACAGATTGATCTGTTCACATACAGGGCACGAGCAACAAATAGGTTGACACACATTACAACAGCTATTATGTTAAATGCTCTAAAATATTAGTTATCACAGGACTTGTACAAATGTTTTGTGCCAGAGCATGGAATGAATTCAACTA